CTATTTTATCTGGAGTATCTATAAAATTCGCAGTCATTCAGTTTTGGCTATAAGTTGACACTTAACCATTAACCATCACCGTGATTGCCGATCCGATGCCCGAAGCTGAGCTTGGTGCTGTCTTTTAAACCTGTGGTTCTCAACGTGGGCCATATGGCTCCCCAGGGCCACGCCATATTTCTAAGGGGCCACACGTGAATGACTGAAAATTAGGGGGCTACAGTAAATTCTGAGTGAGCCACCGAAACTTCACTGCCCGAATAAAATATTTAAAATTTAAAATTGAATCAAAGGTTCCCTTCTCCCCCTATCCCCCACAGTTCAGAAGTCAAGTTACCAGACGCAACTAGTACTCGAGTAACAATCAAAATTCCGGATTGGGTGGTGGATCCATTTGGAGTGAATGCGGTTGATGTTGACATCACATTACAAGAATGTCTCATCGAACTGTAGTGATATAACAGCCCAAGCTAGATTCAACCGTGACAAACATTATTTCTGGATAAGTAGTGAAATAGTTAATAAGTTTCCACAGCTCTGGGAGAAGGGAAAGTTGTATTTTATCGCTTTTCCCACATCTTATCTGGTTGAATCTGGTTTTATTCGGGTGACGTATTTGCTATAAAAATAAATACATGACCGCCTTGATGTTGTGAAGAGAGATAGTCTTCGCTTATCACTGACCACTCTGCAACCTGACATTCAAAAACGTTCAAGTTTGACATTTTATTCAGTGTGATCCTTGGGCCTGATGAACTCAAAAAAATATTCTGTTAAACTTGTATAAGTAAACATTATGTTATAAACAAAATATTTAAAACAATACAATATTGTAAAAATAATATTATAAATATATTATAAATCAACAGTGTGGAAATAATGTAACTTTTTCCTAAGTAACAGCGTCTACGAAGGGTGGGGCTACAGAGATAAATCAAACTCAAAAGGGAGCCACGAGCAAAAAAAAGAAAGAAAAGAAAGGTTGAGAAACACTGTTTTATTTTAAACTACAGCTTAAAGATTTCTGTTGTGGGAGACAGTTTAAACGTTTGTGTAACATGGCCTAAATCGGTCATGCGGTGGTTAAAAAAACTAATCCTGTCCAAAAGGCCAGGAATCCTATACATGCACAAATAATACTTGACATCAATACAGTTGCAGAAATAAGTTAATAATCGCTGTGGTACATGTCATGCCTGCCATATAAACATTGAATTACGTATACGGTCTGCACGCGGCTATATAGGTATGCATGTAGTAGATTATGTGGCTCCATATAAACAACAGACTACATTAAAACGATTGGATGTCAACGGTTATACAGCCGCTGTTATTTGCTAGGTAGTCAAATAAATTTAAAACTACCACACACAATGCGTTTAGTGATATTGTCCATATTTTATTACAATACTCACAGCTATTTTTGCTGTAGACTGGCGGAACAATATTTAATAATAAAGAACAACAACAAATGGCCGATTCCTATGATGAATCCCTACCGTTGTTCAAGATTGTGAACTTTGGCTCTCTAACTAACGCATTCAACGTCGTAAAACAGTTGCCATTTAGATGACCACAAATTCGAAATGAAAGTTTTAAGGTGAAAAATACCCGAGTACTTTAATTACATCATGATTAACTTGTGAGTCTTAAACTTCAAAGTGTGTTACTTTGCGTAAGTATATAAGGTTGGGTGTTTTAAAGTTAGAGATGACTCATCTTTAGTTACAGCAGTTTGTATTTTTGGCGTTCTTAAGCTAGTGCTTTTTAATAACAAATATAAGTGAAAATTTGCTAAACCCCACAATTTTCCTGTAAAACATTTCGCTGATGTCCGACAAATAAAACTTACATTATAACTGATGCAATTTCTGTGGCAAGGGTGTAACTGATAAATGGCGTCTAACCGGGTTTAAGCTGTCTTACAATTCGTGTGAATTGGTGAATTATTTTGGCTTTTTCTGGTAAAAATAATGAAAAGTTCAGTTCACATAACGAAAAAGTATTTCTTTGACTACAAGTTGCATATATATATATATATATATATATATATAT